AAGTCATTCTCAGCTCTTCTAAGTTCATCTCATCTCCTCCTCTAAATGTATGACTCAAATTCTCAGAGGATCCTTCTGCACATACACTTTTTGCCATCCTTGGAATTATTCTTCTTTTCATCCTTCTTCTTCTCATCCTTCTCTTCTTCTTCATCCTCATCCTCTTATAACTCACCTTATTCTGAGGATGCGGGATCAAGAAGAAGAAGTCATGAAAAATAAGCGTTCTCCAAGCCCTTACAAAAAGTGTATCTGCAGAGCTCCTTCTCATCTAACTGCATATCCCTCTAAGTTCTTCTGAGAATACCAGAATAGGGGAACTCTGCTCATACACTTTTTTTGCCGGCTTGGAATTATCTTATTTTCTCCTCATCTTTCTTCTTCTCTTCTTCTTCATCCTTTTCCTCTTCTTCTTCTTCTCTTCTTTTCCTTTTTTTTTTTTTCATTTCTTCTTTTTATGAAAACTATGAATATTCCTTTCTTTTACCTTCTCCAAAATCAGTGTATGTGTGCAGCAGCTTCTAAGTTCTATCTGCAGAGCTCCTCTAAGTTATAATCGCAGAATAGTGGAACTTGCACATACACTTTTCTTTCTCTGGCTTGGAATTTTTCTTATTTTCATCCTTTTATCTTCTCCTTCTTTCTTCTCCTTCATCCTCACCTCTCTTTTCCTTCTTCTTCTTCATTTTCCGAAGGATGGTGGAAGTGAGAGGGGTCATTGAACAGAAGTAGAAGACGAAGAAGAAAAGGATGTAAAATAAGAAATTACCAAACCTTTATAAAAAGTTATTGCAGAGTTTCCGGGGTATTTCTGACAGTTCTCTGACTCTTCTTTACAGTTACATTCATTTTTCTTAATCATCTTACCTAAATGGAAACAAATTGTTTTCTGAACATGTTCCTCTTCTCTCGTCATAGAACGTCTGTCAGAAATAGCAGAGCTCTCTGCAGGAGACACTTTTGCCCGGGTCTGATCGGGAAAAATCTCGATTCGCGCACACCCGAAGTAGGCAAATATTCGGGGGGGATGCGACTCGCGTATTTTTTCTCTGTTCGTATCGAATTTTATTCGAGGGCCTGGTTCGATTCGCTCATATATCTTCTATTTTATTTTTATCTATAAACTATTAGTGGGTTATTTTTTTAAATTTTTTTACTAAAACAATTTAATACTTTTTGGGCCAAGATTTATGAAGAAAGGGATATTTAATTTGCAAAAGGGTTTTTATAAGAAAACCACTTTTTTTTTTATTTTTCAAAATGTTTGGACTTGTTTCATTTATTTATAGCAAAAAAAATAAAATCCCAGTGGTGAATAAAATACCACCAAATAAATTTTTATCTGTCTCAAAATTGCTAAAAAAAATCACCTAATGGGGTACAGTGTTGCAAGACCGTGCAATTGTCATTCAAAGTGTGAGAGTGCTGAAAGCTGAAAATTGGTCTGGACAGAAAGGGGGTGGAAGTGTTTCGGACTTGAAGTGGTTAAAGAAGAATTTCACTATTCTAGACCAGATTTTACCATAGTCCTCAAATTCCTTGGGTCCGTGAGATCCAGTTCCCATTTCTGAAAATATGAAATGGGTCAGGTGGGGCTCGCATGCATTTAGCATACAGTACAGAAGCAATGTGTGTGGAGGGGATCCCGAGAGAATGCAAATAGATATGTCCAAAGGCCAATTTTGTATGTTGGGGGTGTCCAAAGGCCAATTTTGTATGTGGGGGGTCTCAAAGTTCTTTTTAAGGGATGAAAATGGAAGTTTTTATTTTTTGAATAAGGTACACAAGAAGATAGAAAATAAGACTGTATTCAATTATGACCAGGTAAGCATTCAGCTTATAATAACAGTGAATAAAAATAAATGTAACAAAGGGGTTAAACAGTATCATGCTTTTTATGCACAGTAAGGCTCCATGCAAACTGACTCAAACATTGCTGCTTCTACAGAAGTTTTGTGTTTTGCCTGTAGAAGCAGCTCAGTGTTATGCTATGTGTCCATGCACATTAGGACAATTAGAGGCATTTTTTAAGCTCAATGTTTAGAGGCAGGAAAAAACCTTCTGGTTTACATTTTTGATCGGAGCTTTCTGGCACCAAAAAAAATGCTAAACTCTCCTAAACTTACCTATACTGTGTACAAAAACGCTCTATATGAGTGTTTTTTTCTGCCAAAGGAACTGGCGTTTATTTTAGGCTGTTTGCATTGAGCCTAATAACTGTCCTGGACACCCTTTCAACAAGAGAGAGAGACCGCATAGAGTACATTAAGCTGTCTTTATTTTAGTAAATAAATACAGTATATTTTGTATTATTTGTTTGTCTCTGTAATCTTGTCTGCCTTCATACACTGACTTCACATTGTTGGAAACATACTATAAAGGAATATTAATCAATAGGAATAGTAGATTGTGTTTCCTGCTAGGGAGACCCGATCTTATCAAACTTACAGTATGTGGACAACCTCTTGCCTCATAAGTTGAATTTATATATTTTGAACAAATCCTCTCTCTTATCTGAAATTCACCTCTGCATATCTTGGGTGGAGTGTTGGGAAGAGATTTCACACATTTTTTATAACATTCAGTATCTGATAGTTGTTTCTCAATTTTATATACATAATATCACTCAGCGAGGAGGACAAAGTTGTTCCCTTATCACTGGGCTTTATGACTGTCTCCTGATTACTTTGCAAATCTTCAAGTGCTTTTCTTTCCTAGTTAGATGATCTCCAAAGGTTCCTAGCTTCTGTGTTTTATTTGTTATTACTTCTTATAACATGGTGATATTTCTACTGAGATGGAATGGAGGCATCTTTTTATATGCTAGTTTTAAAACACTATATAACATTTTGGTTTCCTGATATTTAATCTCATTCTCTTCCTCCATCCATTCCTCAACATCCATGTAACCTTCTTTGAAGAGTTCGTCCAAGATATTCAATGCATCCTGATCTTCCTGTTCCATAACCTCATTCATCAACACTGATCTTTATCTCCTGCAATACCAATGGAAGAGGACCTTACAAAGAAGAAGGAGATATTCCTAAGAATCTCAAACTACCCACCCTAATCACTGGTGCAAAACCCTTTTTGGAAAAGAGAATAATGTTCATGCTTTTACCCAAAAGGCTTTCAAGGTTTATCAAATTAATGACACCTATCTTACTTGATTCAATCTCTTTTTGCCTCCCCTTTCATATTCTTCTTGGACATGCTTATTGTTCTCAGCCCTGTTTTCTTCAACTTGTTTTTTAAAATTTTATTTCACTTAAAATTCTGGGATTCCCTTAATTTTTTCCAATTTTGCTGAGCTGTAATTAATAATTTTTGTTCTTGTTCTTCTAACATTGCTTTTTATTCCATCACTATAGTTGCTCACTTCTCCGCTGTTTCTATGTATGAGCAAAGTGGTCACCCTTGTTCAGCATTCTCAACCTATAGTCGAGGATGGTGTTAAAGGGTTAGTAGATGTAGATGGTCATTAAATAGGTGACTAACAAATTAAAGCACAACTCCAGTTAAACATTTTAACCAAATATAAAAGTGAAGACTTGTGAGCTGCTATATAAGTAATGAATAGTCCACAGTACTAATTGTGAATTGCCTGCACCTAACACATATTCATACTAGTATCTTAAACCAATATTAAGTAACAAAAAATGTGCTGCGCTTCACTCAATAATGCTAAATTCAAATAATAAATACATCCATGTACTTCTATTAATAATAAGTGCCAAAAATAATATATTAAATAAATAAATCAACCAATACCAGTAACCAAAAGCAATGTCCATATACTGTACATGTCAAAAAAAGTCCATATATACTACTTCAGAAATATGTTTTCCCTTAAAATGAAATGAATATCCAGTGCTTCTTAATTGATCTCCCGTGTGAAAATAACTTAAATTTGTGTGCTACCTCACCGGTTGTGCTCTCACCTCAGAAATATAACCAAACCGTTAAGTGAGGTCATATAATGCTTGTGTCCCTTTAAATGGGCCAAATTGTGGATGGGTTGGCATCTTGCTGTGTAGGATCTCCCTTAACTTGATCGATAGGCTCTCCTTCCACAGTTGTTTATATAGAGGAATAATAAAATCATAGTGTTTTAAAAACATTTGAAACCTTTTAAAAACATTTTATCAATAAAAGTAATGCACTCACATAATTTCTGTATACAAACCGATTTGTGCACAAAATGTATCCTGAGTTTTTGGCAGTGGTGAACATCCTAAAATTACCAGCTGGTGTCAGTATGGAACCATCAAGCATCGTGACATCAAAGCCCCCTCCTCTACGCATTACGCCACCGGTCATGTAGCTTCATCAGAGGGAAACCTTCCCCCTTGGTCCAAGTAATAGCTGCAATGATCAACATCTCTATTATATGGAATTTGGGCCCAAAAACATGGCTACCGCCATGCGGACTACAGAAAAATGGTGCCCAAGTGATCCCCATATAAAAGAATGAGCGTTGTGCAATTCCCCCTAATGAAGCCATGTGACCCAGTAGTGTAATGTGTAGGGGAGGGGCTCTGACATCACGACGCTCATGCGGAAAAGAGAGAGATACTAGCAAGTACACAGCGTTGAATTGCTAGTGATTGTGTGGAGTTTTTATGCAACAGCGCTTTTTACATCATCCACATGTGAGTGCAATACAGTGTATTAATAAATGTTTTAAATAAGGATAAGGCACTATGTTTTGGCATATGAACCGATGGAGGAGGACTACTAAAGAAGTGAAGGGATCCAGACCCTTTAGGATAACTATCCCATCTATCCACAGTCCATATTAATCACCTTCCGCCCGCCCTATAGTACAATGACAGGCGCAAGGTGGTTCTCTCATTCTGATAGGACATCGTATGACGTCCTACCATTCTCACTAAGCATGCACGGCTCAGGGAGCGTGCAGAGTGGCGATCGCCGGTGCGCTGTGTCCCTCGGACACAGCGGATCACGGAAAGAGCTGAAGATGTGGGCTCGGTCATGTAATCAGCTGTGTCCAATCACAGCTGATCACATGTAAACACGGAAATGCTGGTTATCGGCATTTCTCTCTTCTCGAGCTGTCACGCTGACAGCTCGAGAGGAGAGGAGAGCAGGTAATCGGCTTTCGGCGAAGGGGACATGTACACTGATCATCAGGGCACTGATGATCAGTGTGCCCCTGATGATCAGTGTGGCCCCAGAAGTGCCACCTGTCAGTGCCCATCAGTGCCACATGAATGCCACATATCAGTGCATACCAGTGCACATCAATGCCACATATCAGTGCCCATCTGAGCTGCCTTTCAATGTCACCCATCAGTGCCACCTATCAATGCCAATCAGTGCCACCTATCAGTGCTGCCAATCAGTGCCAGTCAGTGTCGCCTATCAGTGCGCATCAGTGCCAGTCAGTGCTGCCTGTCAGTGCCGCATATCAGTGCCAGTCAGTGCCACCTCTCAGTGCCCTGTCAGTTCTGCCTATCCGTGCCAGTCAGTGCTGCCTATCAGTGCCATATATCAGTGTCATGTATCAGTGTCATGTATCAGTGCTGCCTTTCAGTGCCCATCAGTGATGCCTGTCAATGCCCATCAGTGCAACCTACCAGTGCCTCATCAGTGCCATCAGTGCCACCTATCAGTGTCCATCAGTGCAGCCTATCAGTGCCCATCACTGCAGCCTCATTAGCGCATATCAGTGAAGGAGAAAAATCACTTATTTACAAAATTGTATAACAAAAACTAAGAAAAAAAAACATTTTTTTTTTCAAAATTTTCAGTGGTTTTTGTTTGTTTAAGAAAAAATAAAAATCCCGAGGTGATTAAATACCACCAAAAGAAAGCTCTATCTGTCTCAAAAAAATGATAAAAATTTCATATGGGTACAGTGTTGCAATTGTCATTCAAAGTGTGACAGCGCTGAAAGCTGGAAATTGGCCTGGGCAAGAAGGGGGTATAAGTGCCCTGTAGGCTAGTGGTTAAGGGACACAAGCTTTATATGACCCCATTTAACGGTTTGGTTATATTTACCAGGTGAGAGCACAACTGGTGAAGGTGCACAAGTGGTTGTTATAATAACACACCAGAGGTGAATCAAGAAACAGTTGATTTGTCCATATCACTTGTAAAAGCAAATTATCACGGATGTGACATGGACATTATGCTTAATTTTGGAAGAGATATATACATTTTGGAAGAGATATATACATTTTGGAAGAGATATATGAGTTTGGAAATTTTATATACACATATTGGTTACCAGTGAAGCGCGGCACTTATTTCTTGTATTTCCATATTGTTGACACATTTGTATGGGTATGTGTATGGTGCAAGTTTGGCACAAATAGTTAATTAGGTACCATAGCAGCTCCAAGATTTCATTTTATATTACTCACATAAATTACACATCTAATTTCCTAATTAACTAACACATTTTTGGAGGCCCTAGAGCAGGGGGTGGGCAAACTTTTTGACTTGAGGGCCACAATGGGTTCATATATTGGACCCGGGGGCCGGACCAAGAGTAGATGAATGATGTGTATGTGTCATCCATAGTAAGTATAGTAATATTCCCCCATAGTAAGCATAGTAATTAATCCCCCCTATAGTAATTCATCCTCCATAGTAATTCATCCCCCATAGTAATTCATCCCCCATATAGTAATTCATCCCCCATAGTAATTCATCCCCCATAGTAATTCATCCCCCATAGTAATTAATCCCCCATAGTAATTCATCCCCCATAGAGTAATTCATCCCCCATAGTAATTCATCCCCCATATAGTAATTCATCCCCCATAGTAATTCATCCCCCATATAGTAATTCATCCCCCATAGTACTATTCCCCCAAGTAGTAAGCCAAATCCCCCATATAGTAATTCATCCCCCATATAGTAATTCATCCCCCATAGTAATTCATCTCCCCTATAGTAATTCATCCCCCATAGTAATTCATCCCCCATAGTAATTCATCCCCCATATAGTAATTCATCCCCCATATAGTAATTCATCCCCCATAGTAATATTCCCCCCCAAGTAGTAAGCCAAGTAGCCCCCCTGTGTCAATTCACTTACCTTTGCTCCGCGCGTTCCTCTCGCCGTGTTCCCGCGCCGTTCCGGTCTTCAGGGCGGACTGTGAGAGGAGCCTAGCTCCCCTCACGTTCGTCACGCTGCCCCGCCTACACACATCCTGACAGCCATCCTGACAGTATCACACTCCACGGGCCGGATTAAAAGGTCCGCCGGGCCGTAGTTTGCCCATTGCTGCCCTAGAGCAATGTTTCTTAACCTTTTTCCAATCGAGGCGCCCCTTGAAAAGTATTTTCAGTCACAATTCACAGCTGTCCAAGGCTTGGTTCATGTTACTGTGTGTCGTGGAATGCACGCAAAATTCCTGACTCCTGACTCGCAGACAAATGCTCTGCTCTGTAGGGGTACCCCCATACATTGGCAAATGTGGGGCATTTTTGGTGTGGTGTAATTTAAAAACAAGGGTCAGGGATGATTTTTCCTACATTTCTGTGGGTAAGACAGCCCATTGAAATGAATGGGCTGCCCTACACACAGCCACACAGATTTGAACCAAGGGCCTGTTCACCTGTGATGTTGGAGGGTGGTAAAACCATGCAATTGAGCTGCTTTTACCCACCCCCAACTGCTCTCCCTTTAGCTGCAGAAGCAGCAGCTGGGGGTATACACGTGCTGTTGCCGCAGCTGGAAGTATACCTCCAGGTGAATGGGAATTGGACTGCAACCACCCCGCAACTGTGTGCGCATTGCACGTGGTTGTGGTGTGGTGATGCTGCTTTTTATGGGGTTAAAACAGGTGGTGAGGAGGCAACATGAAAAGCCTCTGAAAAGCGATCTGAGCATGGATTGCTTTTCAGAGGAGCAGCAGTCCTTGCTGCTATTACAAAACAAGTCCTAAAAAAAAAGCAGTTTTAAAAGGACAGGAATAGGGGGTCAAGATTAAAAGTAAAATACATACACACACACAGACACACACATATAAAAACAAACACACATGTACACACACACACGTACATACACACATACAGACACATACACACACACACGTACACATGTACACACACACAGACACATATACACACACGTACACACAGGCACATGTATACAGTCCTATAAAAAGTTACAGTACCTTATAGCTTCCATCACACAGCCGGACACTGCACTCTAGGGGGAGGCAGAGAGCACAGAAGACACTCCCCTTGCCTTTGCTTTCAATTTGCTGAGCGGTGTGACGGCTCCCAGTACTGACGTACAGTGCGGCTGGGGATCGGGAGCTCGGGTTCAAGTGACAGCCTTTCTCCCCACGCACCCCTGAAGACCTCTCCCCACGGCACCCTGGTTAAGAAAGGCTGCCCTAGAGCACCAAGACAGTAGAAGCACTCACAAAATTACCACATTTTGGAAAGCAAACATCCCGAGGTGTTTTAAAGAGGCATGGTGACTGTTTTGAAGACTTCATTTTTTGCCACAAGTTTTTGGAAAATGCAGAAAAAAAATGAAAAAATTTTTTTCTTACACAAAGTTGTCAATATAGTTAAATATTTCTCACACACAGCCGGACATACTTAGGATTAGACCCCAAAACACTCCTTCCGAGTATGGTGATACCACATGTGAGACTTTTTCACTCTTTGGACTGATTATATACCGGACATTGTTTTTTGTGTATAACACAAATCACAAAATTTTACAAAAATTAATGTACTGTGTTGGTCACCTCTATACGATAACACCAATAGCAGTCTTAGTTCCTATAAGTTAAGCACGCCTAGCTTACTGGTACATGGCTGCCCCCTGGAATGTCATGTTCACTGACCAGGAAGTACAGAAGGCTAAAAAAAAAAAGAAAAAGAAAAAAAGAGTCTCTGCGGTTCCCAGAGTGCAGTTGTCCACAGGGAATGGCTGGGACTGGTGTCTCACATGAACATAGTCAGTCAGACATGCAGTTGGGTCAGTTCAGACCACAGGCAGAGACATGGTCAGCAAACATGCAAAGGATTGGTCCAGGCAACGGCATAAAGGTGGTCAAAAAACAGGCCAAGGTAGGTGCAGGGGGTAGGCAGATAAAACACAGCACTAGTGTGACAGTGATCAGGAACATTGTTTCTGGCTGCACTGGTGTGGTGACTTTGGGGACTAGTGTGGCAGCAATCAGCAACACTGCTGCTTACGTGGTCACGTGACACTAGGACTGTTGTGGCATCAATCAGGGACACGGTTGCTGTCTTACACTAGGGTGTTGCCACTCTGACTAGTGTGCATGGATACAGTAACTAGTGTGGTGGTGATTAGGGAGAATATGATTGCTGTGGCAGTGATTAGAGACACTGTTACGGGTGTAGCGTTGTTTAGGGACAGCATGATTGGTGTGAAGGTGATCAGTGACACTGTAACTGGTATGGCGGTGATTAGGGACAATATGACTGTTGTGGCAGTCATCAAGAACACTGTAATTGGTGTGGCGGTGATCAGGGACAATATAACTGGTGTGGCGGTGATCAAGGAAACTGTGAGTAGTGAGGTGGTGATTAGTAATACTATGAGTGGGTGGCAGTGACTGGGGACACTGACTGGTGTGACGGTGATTAGGGACACTGACTGGCAGCACTGGTCTGGCGACATTGTACTGCTGTGGCAGTGATCAGAAATAATGGCTGGTGGCACTGATATACAGTGGTATCAGAGCAGCCAGCCATTGTACATGATCACCACCCCAGTAGTGTGATGTCACCATAGTGACACCACACTTGTTCTGGTGACAGTATGTAAAAAATAAATAAATAAATATATACAGTTAGGTCCATATATATTTGGACACAGGCACAATTTTCATACTTTTGGCTCTGTATGCTAGCAGAATAAATTAAAACAATCCAAATGAATTTGAAGTACAGACTTTCAGCTTTAATTCAAGGGGTTGAACATAAATATCAAGTACAAATTTTAGGAACTGCAACCATTTTTATACACAGTCCCTCCATTTTCAGGGGCGCAAATGTAATTGGACAAATTAATATAATCATAAATAAAATGTTAAATTTTAACATTTTGTTGAGAATCCTTTACTTGCAATGACTGCCTGAAGTCTGGAACCCATGGACATTACCAAAGACTGGGTTTCTTCCTTTCTGATGCTTTGCCAGGCTCTAACTGCAGCTGTTTTCAGTTGTTCTTTGTTTGTGGGTCTTCCTGCCTTTAGTTTTGCCTTCAGCAAGTGAAATGCATGCTCAGTTGGGTCGAGATCCGGTGATTGACTCGGCCATTGCAGAATATTCCATTTCTTTTCCTTCAAAAGCTCCTGGGTTGCTTTTTCAGTGTGTTTTGAGTCATTGTCCATCTGTACTGTGAAGCACCATCCAATCAACTTTGCTGCATTTGGCTGAATCTGGGCTGCTTCTGTCTTCTGTCACATCATCAATAAACACCTATGACCCAGTGCCACTGGAAGCCATGCATGCCCATGCCATCACACACTGCCTCCACCATGTTTTACAGA